TTCCGGACATCAAAGGCTGCTGATCATGTCCGCTGCTTGCAGCGTCGACTCCAACTATGGAAAGATGGTGATATCACTTCCCTGCTCCACGAGGGTCGGCAGATCCAAGACCACCTACCATCTGGTCCTCTCCAGCGGTCTGATGACGCAGCGGTGAAAGGCTTTACCCGTCTCATGCTCGCGGGCAAAGTGAAAGCAGCAATTCGTTGCCTGCACACCTCAGGCAGGGGGGGGGGCGTCCTTCCCTTGCAGGCTGACTGCGGTGGTGGCCAGTCCACCATAGATATTCTGAAAGCCAAACACCCATCACCGGACTTGGATGGCCCCTCATCCGATGTACTGCTACAGGGTCCGTGCCGCCCAACGCATCCCGTGCTGTTCGAACCGGTGAATGCTGCATTTGTCCGGGCTACCTCCCTTTCCCTGTCTGGTGCGACAGGGGTGTCTGGGCTGGATGCAGATGCCTGGCGGAGGATGTGTTGTTCATTTGGAAGATCTTCCACGGGCCTATGCAACGCTGTAGCCATGCTGACGAAGCGCCTCGCCACCTCTCCTGTCGACTCGGGTGCTTTGGCGCCGCTGCTGGCTGGGAGGCTTGTGCCCCTGGATAAGAATCCTGGTGTGCGCCCGATCGGCATTGGGGAGACCCTCCGTCGCCTCATTGCCAAGGTGGTCCTCCGCATCACGCGTCAGGACATTGTTGAGGGCGCGGGGGCACTTCAAACCTGTGCTGGGCAGGAGGGTGGGGCGGAGGCCGCTGCACATGCCCTGTGTCGCCACTTTGACAGCAGCAACACAGAGGGAGCACTCCTGGTCAATGCTACCAACGCGTTCAACTCCCTGAACCGTGCAGCTATGCTCCACAACATCCACCTACTATGTCCATCAATAGCAACAATTTCGAAAAACTTTTACCGCAGCACAGTACCTCTCCACGTCAGCGGTACGGTCATCTGGTCTGCTGAAGGCACCACGCAAGGCTGCCCACTAGCCATGCCCCTCTACGCTATTGCCATTACGCCACTCGTCACTACCCTCGCCACCGCCCTTATGGACGACTCTCCAGCTGGCACGGTGCATGACTGCGAATCGCCTGAGAGACCAGCCGGCGTCGGTGCGTCCGCTGCTCGACCGGACGCCTCGACCATCCAGCTATGGTATGCCGATGACGTGGGAGCCGCTGGCCTGCTGCGGCGCCTTCGCACCTGGTGGGACCAGATCTGTCAACTTGGCCCAGCATTCGGCTACTATCCAAACGCTGCCAAGACTTGGCTGGTTGTCAAGCCCGAGCATCTCGATGCTGCCAACGCTGCATTCGCCGACACCGATGTCCACATCACCACGGAGGGCCGCCCCTACCTGGGTGCTCCTCTGGGCTCGGAAGCCTTCAAGACAACATTTTGCAATGCTCGAGTGGAGGCTTGGGCATCTGAGATGCGTGAGCTGGCGAACGTGGCCGAGGCCGAGCCCCAAGCCGTGTATGCCGCACTGGTCTTTGGGTACCGTCACCGCTGGACATTCCTGATGCGCGTGTCGAGCTGTGCACCAGACGTCTTCGAGCCTCTCGAGTCCTCTCTTCGCTCCGTCTTGTTGCCAGCTCTATTGGGTGTGCCAGTCGTCCCTGCCCCTCTACGCAGCCTTCTTGCTCTGCCTGTGCGTCATGGTGGCCTTGCAGTGCTCAATCCAGTTGAGGCTGCCCCGCAACAGCGGACAGCATCTCTGTCCATCACGAGCAGTCTCCAGCAACTTATCGCGGACCAGTCCTCCCTCTACAGCGTGGACCCAGCAGCCATTTGCGCCGCCAAGGCTGCTGCCAAGCAAGCCCAGTCTGTGACAACCAAGACCGTCCTGCAGACAGCTGGTCCAGAGGCCCTACCACCAATGCTTCTGGAGCACCTCCAGGCCAAGGGAACAGGTGCATGGCTGACCTGTCTTCCTGTTCGCGAGCATGGATACTCCCTTGACCGGCGGTCCTTCGTTGATGCCCTATGCATTCGGTATGGCCTCACCATCCACGGTTCACCTACCGAGTGTCCATGCGGCCAGCCGTTTACCATCGACCACGCAATGATCTGCAAGTTGGGCGGCTATCCCATCCACCGGCACAACCATGTCCGCAACTACCTGGGCCAACTTCTTTCTCAAGTGTCTGAGGATGTGCAGCTGGAGCCACCGCTGCAACCTCTACCGACGGTCCGCACGTTTGACCATGGTCCTGCCCTGCTCACTGCGGACGAGGCCAGACCGGACATCAAGGCCAGGGGGTTTTGGTCGGTACAGACTGATGCATTTTTTGATGTAAGGGTGTTCTATCCCAACGCACAGTCGTACCGATCTCGCCCGCTGGCTGAGGTGTTCCAATGGCACGAGCGTCAGAAGCAGTCGGCATACGGTGCCCGGATCCGGGAAGTTGAGCACGCGTCATTCACCCCGATCGTCCTGTCTTCCGCTGGTGCCCTGGCGAAGGAGGCCACCCGGTTCCTGAAGCTGCTCGGAACGA